TGTGGTGTGGGGGGGGGGGGGTGTTGGGAGGTGAAGGTGCCTCTGCCTAATGCCAGGGAGCAGAGATCCTCATTGCTGCTGCTGCTTTAGCTGGGGAGATCGGGCTGAGAAACAAACACTTCTTGTGGAGGTGGCCTTTTTATCTTAGAAAGGGAAGTCAGTGGACTTGTGCTGTTCAGTATGGGAGGAAGCCAGCTGAGAGGAGAGAGGCCGAGGCTGTGAATGGGGTGAAAAGGGAAAATGAGTGTGTTTGGTTTGCATTTAAACGTCCAGGTGAGGAAATAGCAAATGAAATCAGTATCACAACGAAGAGAAGGAAGCAGTTATTGCTCACTCATGCTGTGAGGACACGATGATTACCACAGGATTTTGCAAAGGGCAGAATCATGAGTTCAGAAAGGCAAATACAGACAAGAAAGGCTCGTTGGGGTCTGAACAGGGACAGTCCAAAGGGAAGCTTCTGCTGGAAAGCCGCCCACTGCAGGCTGTCCAGTGCCACTGGCAGCTTGCTGGGCTCTTGCTTTGCTTCTGATGCTCTTTACTCTTGCTGGGCTGCTGGGAAGCAGGATACCTGGCTCACTGCTCAGAGCCGGCAGTACACAGGGTGCTTGGTGCTCTGGCTGCCGGGTTCCATGTCTGGCTGTTCCCACCACTCCCGGGCCATCCTGCCTCCAGTTCCCTGCCTGGCTTTATGCTCATAGGGTTGCAGGAGTGCTGAGGAGCCGCAGGGAGTCAGTGGGAATGCTCTGCTTGGACTAGCAGTGGGTGGCTTTGCCCTGAGAGCTCTTGGGTGGAGAGGAAGGACCAGCTGGGGAGTGAAGGAGGGAAGTGGTGGCAGAGCCCAGTCTCTGTCTCCTCGCCCAGTGGAAGTGCACAGGACCTGCTGCTGCTCGTCTGCCTGTTCATGGCCGTGCACTGAGCCGCTCAGTGAACGAGCTCAGCTCTGCCCCGTGGCCACAACATGCTGAGCCCCCAGGCCTGAGGCATGGCGCTGTGTGGGGGCAGCCAGGGGCAGGTCCCCTCCCAAGGCGTGTTTCTGTGGCCCTGCACAGGGCTGATGTCAAACATGGACATTCCCAGATGAGATCCCAGAGCCTGCACCCAGCTGTGCCTGTGCTGTGCGGAGCGGCTGGGATCCAACAGGAGACCAAAGCTCATGTGCCTGAGCCCCTGCCCCGCCAGAGGCAGTGGGCTTAGACAATTCCAGACTGGTTTGGATTGGAAGGGACTTTAAAGTTCCTCCAGTTTCAACCCCCTGCCATGGGCAGGGACACCTTCCGCCGGAGCAGGTTGCTCCAAGCCCCTGTGTCCAACCTGGCCTTGAACACTGCCAGACATGGGGCAGCCCCAGGTTACAAAGAGGGTGCAGTGAGCACTGAGGATGTTCTACACTCACTCAGGGGGTTTTGTTCCTGCTCATCAGCATTATCGCCATGAGCTGCAGCTCCTTCAGCAGTCATGAGCAGCACAAGGTGGATCTGGGAGGGTGCATTGGGAATCACCAGCTCCTGGGCACTGCTCCAGCTCCAGGCTCTGCCCAGGGTGCTTGTGCCTGCAGGGGCAGGAGGGGAGAGCCCCAGCGGTGTGGGGGCCCTGCTCCATGCTACAGTGTCTCAGCTAGACCAGGGCCTTAGCACCACCTGACCCTGGGCTGTCCCCAGCGCAGTCTAAGGTGGCATCTAATTGTTGTTTGTACCTGGTGGCTTTCCAGACCACCTCCATGCTGCTGGTGCTTTAAGACTTGGACCTGGCTTCCTCCAGGATCCAAACATTAGGGTCCTCAGAGTCCAAAGGAACCTGGTGGTGCCAAGCCTTGCTGCCTTTGACCCTCCCTGTATCTGTTTTGCCTCTCTGACAGCTTTCTACACGAGCAAGTACGGCTACAAGATGTGTCTACGCGTTTACCTGAACGGGGACGGCACCGGGCGCGGGACCCACTTGTCCCTGTTCTTTGTGGTGATGAAGGGACCGAACGACGCGCTGCTCCGGTGGCCCTTCAACCAGAAGGTGGGTCTGGGACAGAGCCCACCACGCTCAGCATTGTGTCTCGCTAGGTTTGCACCCACTCAAGCTTCTAGATGGCCGCTGCTCTGGCCTGCTTGGTGAGGAGGAGGAGGAAGGACTTCAATGGTTTGGCTGCCCAGGGGATTCCCCCATCGTGCTGAAAGCACCGAGTGTGCCACAGGGCAGAGGCACAAGAGGGCAGAGGCTGCAGCAGGGGAGCAGCAGTGTGGCTGGAGGCCAGTGGAGCCTCTGCAGGAGTTGAGGGTGAGGGAAGGGTGAAGTGCCCCGGTGCTCAGGGTGCAACTGATGGTCACTCAGTGTCAGAAGCTCACATTGTAGTTCTGGGAGTTGCAGGTTTGTGGAACTCTTCGGGGATGAGCAGGTGAGGTTCTGACGCAGGGAGGGAAGATGACTCCTGTCACTGAGGGACATCAACACCGTGACTGGACAGAACACCCATGTGGGGTGTTGGTGCTGGGAGTAAACGCCGTGCCGGCCGGCTGCAAATTCTCAGATCAGGGTGACAGCCCTGTGCTGCCACCAGAAGTTTCCAGTGATGGGGCAGGATGTGGGAAGGGTTCTGCAGAATGCATGGAGGTGATGCTCTCTGTGGCCCTGCTGACAGGCATTTCTCAGGGTTGTGTGTGTATGCTGGACTGTGGCTGTGGTGGTGCCTGCGCATCTCACAGGCTTCCAGTGACCAGTCGCTGGGTTTCCATGTGCTGCTTGTTCATCCGCTCTCGTGTGTTTCCACCTTTCCCCACAGGTAACACTGATGCTCCTGGACCAGAACAATCGGGAGCACATCATCGATGCCTTCAGACCTGATGTGACCTCCTCGTCCTTCCAGCGACCTGTCACAGAAATGAACATTGCCAGTGGCTGCCCCCTTTTCTGCCCCGTCTCCGTGATGGAAGCCAAGAACTCCTACGTGCGGGATGATGCCATCTTTATTAAAGCCATCGTTGATCTCACGGGCCTCTAACCCTCAGCTCCAGGAGCAGTGACCACAGATCCAGCCACGTGTGGGGCATCCCCCTCTTGTGCTGCACTTCAGGCAGGTCTCGTATCAAGGAGGGGGCAACACGTGGAAGGGGCAAAGCCCTTCCCAGAAAGGGACCTTCACTCTGGGTGGGAATGAGGTGTCTGATGGGAACCCTCTTGCCTGGTGTCGGCAAGACCTTCCTGAGAAGAGGTTTGGGTGGACGTTCACGGTTGGTGGGGTACAAGAAGATCTGCAGGGACTTGGGTGTCTGAACTGCTGCTGCCTCGGCTCCCAGTGGAAACCAGCGCAGCTCTTGCTCTGCCAGCTTAGTGCACATCTGCAGTGCTCTGTAGTAAAACAAGGGTTTGCCCGAGCTCCACCTGTGTGGAGGTTTGGCGCAGCAGCCCACAGCGATCTCTGTTCCTGGAAGCTTCGTGCGCTGCAGAATGCCGCCGCTCAGGTGTGAGCTCTTCCACCGCTGTTGCGGGGTCGCTGGTGTCTGCAGAGCGCGGTGCTGCTCTGCGCTGTGTGGGAGCACAGCCCCGAGTGTGGCCCTCGCTGTGTGTTCAGAATCATAAAATCAGACTGGTTTGGGTTAGAGGGACCTTAAAGCTCCACCAGTTGTTTTGCTGTGGCCATGAGTGGCTCTGGAGGGACAGCTGTCCAGGCTGCACTCCAGGCTTTGCTGCCTTCTCTGCCTGCACTTCCCGCACCGGGGTCAGTGTCTGAACGTGGCCCAGGGGAGGGTTTGTTGGTCACAGGAGGCGGCTGCTCACAGTGATAGTGCAGGAGCCTGCCCACTGTCTGTGCTGCTCCTCTGGGCAGGAGGGTGGGCAATGGGTGGAGGGGGGTCACTCTCCTTTTCCTCACAGCTCCCATAGATCAACCTTTGAGCCCCCACTTTGAAGTCTCCACGTGGATCTTAACCTGCATGTGCAGGGCCGGGGCAGACTCTGCTGCTCCAGTGAGAGGAGGGGGACAGGAGCCAGTAAGGAGGGTCCACGCTGGAGCAGGGGCTGAATCAGGGGCTTGGAACCCCCGGTGGCTGTGCTCCCCCCCCTCCAGGTGGGCCACTGTGACCCTGCTGTGGTACAGGCAGGGCCCTGCCTGTTTCTTCTCAGAGGCCAGTAATCAGTGACTGTATTCCCACCACAAAGAGCAGAGTGGGGCTGGCAGCTGCCTGCACCCTGCCTGCTGCCTGCTCAGA